CAAAAAATTAAAAAACGTAAATTATAAATCCAAAACCAAACATAAATCCAAAAAACCAATCCAAATTAGAATTCGATTTGATTTGGTTTAGTTTTTCAGTTTAATCCAAATAGTGCATACCCATAAACACAAATAAAATTTGAAGAGTCAACCAAATCTTTTATATATTTTTAAATATTTCTAGTTATCAATTATTGAAATTTACTATGTTCCTCATGTTGTTTACAAATAATACATGTTATTTTATATATCTTATTATATGTAGCACCAATAAAATTTAAAAACTTCACGAAGTATATTTCAGATCGCCAATTGTCATAATTTATACTCTTTTTATACGATATAAAATATATAAAACACTGAAAAACTAAAACAAATAAATTAAGACTAGAAGAACTAAAATAAATAGAAGTAGATTTATAACAATACATAATATTACTTTTTGATTTATAAAAAATTAAAATTAAACTTCGATCAATTGAGATCACCAATCGCATCTAACGAAGTAAAATCTTGAAGTTCTTCGTCCTGTTCGAAAAGTGTCATTTCTTGATCCGCCATAACAACCCAAGCTTCAATTCCGCCAAGAAATTCTTTAGAATCTAATAAAACAATATTATCTTTTACCCCAAGAAACGCGACGATCGTTAAAATAGGCTCACCCCATCCAAAGTTTGCTTCATAAATCGGAAATTTACACCAACTTGAAATTCTTAACACACGAATATCATCCCCTTGACTCATAATCAATTCTCCAACTTGCTTAAAATTACTGTTTACAAACTCAAAACCATCCTCTCCACGTATTTTCTCCACGTAATTACCATCAATTCTCCTAATTGCACTATTTATTTTCCCTACCATTGAACACCATTCATTTTCCACACTTGCTATACAACTTGTTACCAAAAAAAAGTTACCAAATGAATTTTCATTCAAGGGTGGAACTATAATTTGCCTTATATTCACTGGAATAATTGCAACTGAGTTACACCCTTTGGCAGACATGAAACATTTCCATAACAAAGCTAGAATAACTTCGACACGTGTCGCGTTCTCATTGTATCCCCAATTTATCAACTTAGCCTTCATTTTAGCTATATTTGAACTAGTAAAAATGAATCTTTTTACTGCTAGGTTTTCAGCTACAGGATGAATTGGTATGCATTTTTCCTTTGGTGTGTCATCACATATCCCTCTTGGTGGAAATGTTGACGATATAGAGACGAAATTAGAGTGTTCTCGTACCTTGTTAGCCCCTGTGTTGCTAGGGCTCTTCAAAAATATTGACAGATGCGTGTTGCTTCTTATTAATCGTTCACTTGTAGTGCACCAATTAATGATGAGTGTGCAAAGGCTAGAACCATCACCAATCTTATGTGAAATGGAGATACTAATTGCTATGCCACCACAATTGAATAAGTTAACTTGAATGGCTAGAAGTTCTTGAAAATTTGATGAAGAGCCATTTGAATTGTAAGGTGTGAGTTGGACTAATTCATTGGACTTTGGATTCTTGATTATGTCTAGAAGTGAAGCATCCACTTGTGATTCTTGATAGTAAGCTCCTTCATCATTGCAATCAATTGAATATTGGGACTTCATTCTTCCAGCCAAAGGGTAAAATTGAGTTAAAGTTTGTGAAAGTGAAGATTTTAAGTGGCTACATATTTGTGATTGTGTGATGTTTTCATTCTTTTTGAAGAACAAAATGAGTGGGATTGAAGAATGAGGTATTCTTTCATCTATGAAAGAGATTTTGTGGTCTCTAAGTTCATGTGGAGTTGGGGATGATGGCTTGATAAGCTCTTCACAAATCTTGGAAATTTGCATTTTTTTTCTTGAACATGTAAGAGGAGAATGTAGCCTTTTGCTAACTTATATAATTGATCGAGTTTCACTTCTATATACTGATATTGTAAGGTTGTCAAGGCTAATAAATTCTACTGATAGTTTAAAAAGTTGGAAAAATACACAAGTATGCCCCTCAATCTATGCTCAAAATTCCAGAGATACATTTGTATTATACTAAGGTCCTATAAGTAATTTTCTACCCCTTTTCAGTCTACGTGGCACTAACTTGAAAAAAAAAGTCAACCAACTTTGAATTCACAAGATAGTGTCTCGTAGGCAAAAAAGGGTAGAAAATTATTAATAAAATAAGTTCAGGAGGGTAATAGAACCTTAGTATAGTATAAGTGTGTCTTTGAAATTTCGAATATAGGTTGAGAGGATACTTGTACATTATCCCAAAAAAATTCAAATTCTTTTTTATGTGAAAGGAATCTTCCTCCCCCATGAGAAGACAAATGCTACAGGATTGACAAGTACAATAGTTACTTGTGATAAATAATTCAATTTATTTTTTGAATGAATAAAATTAATAAGCTTAAGTCCTTGTCTTGTGATTGTATCTGATAGTAACTAATGCAATAATTGAATATTCAACTATTAATTAAGTCCTTGTCATGTGTTCTGTATGATAGTAGTAATAATTAGTAACTACTCTCCGTTTTAATCAATTTATATGCGATATTTTGTATTTTGAGATTCAAACTAGTTTATTGTTGAGTATTTTGTGAACTTGTGAATATTTTATGAAATTTGTGATTGATAAACGTGATCCTCTATATTGTTGATTTATAATTATTGGAATGTTGTTAATGAGCTATGTGTTATTTGAATTGTGCACTATTAGATTGGGTTGGTTATATACAGATTGTAATAATGGAGGTTGTAGGAGTATATGTATAATATATTTTTTGACGTTATATTTAGGAGTTTATTTGTTGAGTATCGTGTTGCTTGGTATTCATCCCTTGCTTTTGTATTTGTGTAGATTATGAAGCTGGATCTTCATGATTCTCTCTCTTCTCTTCAGGCTTCCTATGAAGATTTGTAAGGTAGTTGTTGTCATCTCAATAGACCCTCGTACTCTTATTTATGATTTTATTCTACTTTAGAGACTATCATTTGAGTCTTGTATTTTTCTTTTAAATCTGTTGAGATACATTAGAGGTTTATACACACGACAATCAGATTTTACGAATTTAGTTAAATTGATTTTTTATTCGAATTATTATTTGCTGTTAAATTTTTATTTTTATTTTACTCCCGCATTTTATCGTGATATTTGAGTTTTAGGTTTACTTGATTTAGTGGTATAAGACAAGTGTCATCACATCCATTTTGTATGATGACATTAATCAACTTCTTATTTTTCACCATTCTCCTCTTTGACCTTAAATAAAATTTGTAACTTTGATAATTTTTTGTGGTGAGTTTGGTGATAGGCGATAAAATTAATGGTAGATAACTTTTAATTTTGATAATTGACGATAAAACTTGTGTGCTTTTGATGATGGATGCTGAAATTTGTGGTTATGATTGTGATGAATTGCATTGGTGGCAATAGCAGTGATGTGATTTTAATAGTGAATGCAGTTAAATTTAATTTGTCTCGTTGCAATTTCTTATGGTGGTAGTTGTTGCAAGAAGATTTTGATGGTGAATTTAATTGTGAGCAGTGAAATTTATGTGGTGGAGATTTGAGTTTGGTGGTAGTTGATTTAATGGTGAGTTTGATGGTGTATAGGGAAGAAATTGAAGTGAAATGAAATTTTATTTTATTTTCAAATTTGACATAATTATTGATGTAACAGTGACATTGTGATGACATGCTCGAGTATGAAACGTTTCGCATCATGTGACTGATTTTATGTGCATTAGGATTAAAATAAAAATCACTTTTAAGTAATATTTCAGGTGTGTAATAGATCGTTACAATAAGTCAATTGGAGTTACTGCTACAAATTCAAAAGAAAAATATATTTCTTTTCCCAAACAAGAAACGTGTCAATTTATTCTATTACGAATACACAAAAATTCATGAACAGAGACCAGAACATTAGGGTCTGTTTGCATAGACTTATAAAAAGTAACTTATAAGTCATAAGTAGACAATTTCATCCTTCTAACTCAATGTTTAACTATTTTTACTTAAAAATGAATGCTTAAACAAACTTTAGTAAAAAGATATTAAATGACAAATTTATAATAAGATTTTCATTCATTGAATAAATAAATTACATAAATGAATATTTAACTTACTGTGAACACTACTATAGAGGGCAAATAAGAAGAAAGTTATGCTTAAGAAGTATTTCATGATTGTATCAATGAAACTTTTGATGCTAAATTAAGTTATTATAAGCTATGTATATATAGGAACATATTAATTTAAGGTCAAGATATAATTAATTTTTCAAGGTTATGAAAATAAATGAATAATTTACCAGATTCTTAGTAAGTCATTTTTATTAACTATTTTTATATATTTCTAATTTAATTAGGTAAAAAATAATTACTTTCATATACATTAGTAATCTTGGAAAGTAAGTATCACTTGACTAAAATTCAATTAATGTATGTCTGTATTATTTTCAATTATCAAGTGTCTGTTTGGATTGACTTAAAAAAAAGTAGTTTTAAAGTTAAAAATAAAAACTAGGGGGACATCTGTTTTTGGTTTCTGACTTATTTGAAGTCATTTTTGACTTATTTTTTTAAGTCTTTTTTTACGTTGTCAAACACTTTCTAACTTATTTTAAATTATTTTTCACTTATTTTTTATATTTATTAAATACTTGCAGAAGTCAAAAACTAACTTAAAAGTAAATTTGACCAAAGTCAAACCTAATTAAGAGTTAATAACTATATAATTATAAAACTAGGCCTCCCTTCCACCTATGTATGGACTATTCTTTCCTTGTGGAAAGAAAAGAAAAATATTTTGTATAAGGTGAAAAATCAATGTCCTTCGAAATTATAAAAAGATAAAAAATTGTATGCGTTAAGATTTCATCTTTCTTGTTTCAAAATCAAGATGATTAACAGGTGGAGTTATCTGAAGATAATATTAAAGAATTTATTCTCGATGTTTGACAATTAATTAATACTTTAAAATGTCAGTACAAGCATCAAATTAAATACATAAGTGATTTAGCTAAGGAATTCGAGTTAGATGTAAAAATAATAAATACAAATAGATAAATCTGAATTACATAACATATACATATTTGGATATTAAAATCAATATTTAAGCATGTACTAAGTGCACAAAAATAATTAGAGTTGAAAAGAACAAATAGAACAAGACAAGTGATTTATACATCTTTTTTGTCAACTACCATACCTAATCCGACTATATATTAATATATCATATTGTCATGATCATCCATCACTAATAATATCTAAGTTGTTTATTTCAACGAAAAATAAATTTAATACTATTATTGTTTGTCCTCCACGAGTAATATTTAAATTATTTATCAAACAAAAAATAGACTAATATAAAAAAAATAAAAAAAATAAAACGAATATTATTAATGCAAATCCACCACTAATCATATTTAAATTATTTATTTCAACAAAAAGAATAGACTAAATACTAAAAAAAATTATTCACTTTAGAATGACATGATTCTCGCTCGTTACTTTTACTTGAAGACTGCAAGTTTGAATCCTATCCCACCATCATTCTTCGAGCGATGAGAATTCGTTCCTTGTGAGCCACTTGTTTCTCTTAAAGAAAAGGTCATTGCACCCGGCCTAGCTCCTTTACGAGCCGTTATTTATTTTGAGCTTTAAAAAAATTACCTGAACGTTATTCACCGAATAACTTCTTCTCTTGTTTTTCAAACCAAATGATTCATATATTCAATTGAGATCACCAATCGCATCTAACGAAGTAAAATGTTGAAGTTCTTTGTCCTGTTCAAAAAGTGTCATTTCTTGATCAGCCATAACAACCCAAGCTTCAATTCCGCCAGGAAACTCTTTAGAATCTAATAAAGCAATATTATTTTTCACCCCGAGAGTCGCAACAATCGTCAAAATAGACTCACCCCATCCAAAGTTTGCTTCATAAATAGGAAATTTACACCAACTTGAAATTGTTAACACACGAAAATCATCCCCTTGACTCCTCATCAATTTTCCAACTTGCCTAAAATTACTATCCACAAACTCAAAACCATCATCTCCACGTATTTTCTCCACGTAATTACCATCAATACTCCCAATTGCACTTTTTATTTTCCCTACCAATGAACACCATTCATTTTCCACACTTGCCATACAACTTGTTACTAAAAAAAAGTTACCAAATGAATTTTCATCAAAGGGTGGCACTATCCTTTGCCTTATATTCACTGGAATAATTGCAACTGAGTTGCACCCTTTTGCAACCATAAAACATTTCCATAACAAACCTATAATGACTTCGACACGTGTCGCGTTCTCATTGTATCCCCAATTTACCAACTTAGCCTTCATTTTAACTATATTTGAACTAGTAAAAATAATTCTTTTCACTGCTAATTTTTCAGGTACAATACGAAGGGGCATGCTGTTTACATTTAACGTGTTGTCAATTGTCCCTCTCGACGGAAAAATCGACGGTAAAGAGATAAAAACAGAGTCTTTTCTTACCTTATCGTTCTCTATGTCGCTAGGGTTTTTCAAAAATGTTGACTGGCGTGAGTGCAACAACATTTCTGGAGAGCGTGTACGACTTCTTATTAATCCTTCACATGCATTGCTCCAATATTTGATGAAATTACAAAGGCTAGAAGCATCACCAATCTTATGTGAAATGGAGATACTAATTGCTATGCCACCACAAGTGAATAAGTTAACTTGAATGGCTAGAAGTTCTTGAAAATTTGATAAGGTGCCATTTGAATTGTAAGGTGTGAGTTGGACTAATTCATTGGATTTTGGATTCTTGATTATGTCTAGAAGTGAAACATCCACTTGTGATTCTTGATAGTAAGCTCCTTCATCATTGCAATCAATTGAATATTGGGACTTTATTCTTCCAGCCAAAGGGTAAAATTGAGTTAAAGTTTGTGAAAGTGAAGATTTTAAGTGGTTGCATATTTGTGATCGTGTGATGTTTTCACTCTTTTTGAAGAACAAAATGAGTGGAATTGAAGAATGGGGTATTAGTTCATCTATGAAAGAGATTTTGTGGTCTCTAAGTTCAATTGGAGTTGGGGATGATGGCTTGATAAGCTCTTCACAAATCTTGGTAATTTTCATTTTATTTTCTTGAACATGTATAGAGGAGTGTGGCTTGTTTGTTGTTTATATAAGCAAACTCGATTTAACTTTTATATATTGACAGGGTACGTTTGTGAAGGCAAATTAAATAATAATAAATGGAATTAGTATAATATATTAAACATAAGTTGTGTAGTTGTCTCATAAATACTTGTATATTATACTAACAACAAAGATTAGGTTAGTAGATTGAAAATGATTTTTTTAATGATAATACAAATTGTGTTTCTCCACTTTGAAATTTCTAATGATAATAAATAATAAAAGTATTCTTGAATATCACGTGGATATATATAAATATACCAACTCGATTGAATTTGTGTGGTGGGCTAGTTGTTTAATTTACGTGTGGGAGAGTCAAATTTAATATTTATTTATTTTTGATATTTTGAGATAATAATTACTATTATAATTTATTGCGGTATTTTTTACATAATTTTTATTTGTGTCGATTTATGTGTCATTAGCAGAATTCAAGAGTCAATCGAACTCTTTATGTCTTTTAAATATCTTAAGTTGTTAATTATTGTAATTCATATATTTTTTTACATAATTTCAAATAATACTCCGTTTGTTTCTATTTAGTTGTCATCATTTTAGATTTCAGGTCCCTTAATTAAGAAACTAGGTAAGCTTACAATTTTACCCTTAGTTAGTGTTCTCTTTAAGTCGAGTTTTCAATTAATGATAAATTTTAGTTTTATTTCGATTAATTAATTTGACAGACGGACATGATTTATTTACTTAATTTTCCTATTGTTGGTCAAATACTTATTTTCAAGGCTAAACACGAAAAATAATGTAATTCATGCATTGATTTTGTCAAATGACAAATATTAAATTACAACTATTTTTAATAAAGACGACATGTAAACAGGAACAAAAAAGGTATATATTAGTCCCCTTTTCCCAATTTATACGACACAAATAAATTTCAAGAGTCATTCATGAGCCGTAGATAAACACTATAAACAAAAAAGATAGGAAATTCTATATGGCCTAAGGCTGATTGTATCCACAGTGGAGAAGATCAGTTCGTTGATATTTACTATGTTGCTCGGAATCTCCAAAAATATTGATGTGTCCCTTGTCAGGTCCTCTAAAAACTAACAGCCTTCGGAGTATCTTACACACACACGGGACAGTACTTTCGGAAAAATTCCAAGCAGCCCTTAGTTTTTAGCTATGTTGCTCATACCCTCCGTAAATGTTGTCAACACCCTTGTCGGATCATCCAAAATGTATAAGGAGTATCCGAAACACACGTGACAGTGCAAAGAGTCCGAGCAACATAGGTTTTTAGTTGTCACACTAGTAACCTAGTAGATAGTACTTGCATATCAGCAAAATTCTGGCAGCCCTAACTTCCTGGATACATGAAGTTTAATAAGTCATTTTCTTTGTATTCTACTGTAATTCAGCTTGATTTCAATACTTTTCTTTGAATATTAGGTATATATAAATATCATTTTTTTACTCCTAAGTTTTATCAAACACTCACTAATAACAACACAAAGAATATTCCTAGATATACATCTTTTTTTCTTCATTCCATTTCATTTCTAAAACTTATGGATAGGGAAAATATCATTTACCTCTTCTTGTTAGTACTAACTTTTTTCACTCTTCAAACTTCAACAGCTTCTCAGATGTTTGTTTCTCATAGACACCTCGTTGGAGAATGGCGATTGTTGCACGAAAGCATTGGCATAACCGCGATGCATATGCAACTCTTGCATAACAACAAGGTAGTTATCTTTGACAGGACGGATTTTGGACACTCTAACCTCTCCCTTCCAAGAGGGCGTTGTCGTTATAACTCCCATGACTTAGCCCTACAGAAAGACTGCTCTGCCCACTCTGTGTTATACGACATTGTTAGCAACACGTTCCGTCCACTGATGGTCCAAACAGATACCTGGTGTTCCTCTGGTGCTGTACTCCCAAATGGAACGTTAGTACAAACCGGAGGATTTAATGATGGAGATCATATAGTACGTAGTTTAGCACCTTGCACGGATGAGAATTGTGATTGGTTTGAGCTTCCGAGGACTTTAGTTCAACGAAGATGGTATTCAACTGACCACATCCTTCCTGATGCACGAATAATCGTGATAGGAGGGAGAAAACAGTATAACTACGAGTTCTACCCGAAAAACTCCAGAGGTGACTCTGCTTTCAGTCTACAATTTCTTAAGAGTACCCTAGAAAGGTACGAGAACAACTTGTATCCGTTTGTGTTCTTATTACCAGATGGAAACCTTGTCATTTTCGCGAATACACGAGCTATAATACTTAACTACAAGGAAAATCAGGTTGTGAGGGAATTGCCTTCCATTCCAGGTGATGAACCTAGGAACTATCCAAGTACTGGCTCTGCAGTCTTACTTCCACTAGACGAAAATCGCCCTATGGAAGCAGAAATCATGGTTTGTGGAGGTGCCCCTCGTCGTGCATATAGATATGCAGATAAATATAAAATGTACATGAAAGCCCTTTCAAGCTGTGGACGAATCAATGTCATCGATGATCATGGTATATGGGAAATGGAGACTATGCCAACGCGACGAGTCATGAGTGATATGCTAATACTACCTGATGGGGATATTATCATTATAAATGGTGCATCAAGGGGAACAGCAGGCTGGAATAACGCTATTTCCCCTGTCACTACGCCAGTGATTTATCGGCCTAACGTGAGGAGAGACAACAGGTTTTCGATCATGAAAGCAGCATCAAGACCCCGGCTTTACCATTCCTCAGCTATTTTGATGACCGATGGACGAGTTCTAGTAGGAGGAAGCAATCCACAGGAATACTACAACTTCACTGGTGTGGAATTCCCAACTGATCTAAGCTTAGAAGCCTTCTCACCGCCTTACCTAGCTCGAAAACACAGCCATCTAAAACCAACAGTACTCTCTATCGATGAAATCCTAACATACAAAAGTTCATTTTCCGCGACTTTCACAGTGCCTACATTCTTGAGAATAGGGACTGTTTCAATCAGGATCATCGCACCTTCATTCACTACACATTCTTTTTCGATGAACCAACGAATGGTGGTCTTGAAGGGAGTCGTGGTTGTTGCAATATCCGATAATTCGTATAAATTCACAGCATTTGCTCCATCAACTAAAGAAATTGCACCACCAGGATACTATATGCTCTTTGTAGTACATGCAGGCATACCAAGCTCTGGTGTGTGGGTGAAAATCCAAGATAGTACTTGACATACACACAAACAGTGACGGAACCAGAATTTTATACGAGTCGAAACTTTATGACCTAAAGCAACTTTTGTAACCCCTTTTTATCATTTTACATGAATTTTCCTCATGACAAAGGAATTCAACAACTTAAATATAACTAAAAAATCATCATTTTTAACAATCTTCTAGCCACCAGTTATAGATTACTAGTGTTATGCATGTTACATTTGTTAAAAACAAGGTCAAATATATCGACGATCCCTTAGACTTGTCAATAAATTTCATATATACATGCGGAAATCGAGCTATCGAACACCTACATGTTGGTAAAGAAAATGTTATCATATCAAACACACTAAAATTCAGTTAGAAAAACAAGAAGCATAACATATAATAAATAGCTTTAACTGTATTAACATGTCAAAATCACCATCGTCACAGCAAGTTTGGGGGCCTAAAACCAAACATTATAAAAAGGTTCTATGTTTTTTAGTTGATAAATATAAATTGAATAATTATGATATAGTAGTGTAATCCTACAAATAAGATCTGGAGAGGCAGAATATATATGTAGACATTATGAAGTAAGAATGCAAATAATGTAAATTTTCAATGAAAATTATATAATATAAAGTTTTGGAATAATAAAACATGACTTAAATTTTTTTAAAATATGACGATACTAAAATAGTATAGCGATGAATTTGATAAGTTAATAATATTAAAAAAATAGTGTTGATTAGTTTTATGCTTGAATTTAAATAGGACACCAAAAACAAATTTAATTTTTGTAGAAACACACAACAATAGGTATCACATAATGTCAAATGTTTGAACATTTAAGAGACTTATGAATATTCAATAATGAAAGAATAAAAAATAATAAAAGGAGAATAAAGAAAAGTAAATATTTTAAGAACACAGTATTGTTAGTTCATGATAATTGCAAAATATAAATGAGCTAAACAACAAAATAGATAGTCACATGCGAAACTAGAAAGGATAATATAATTAACTAGTAAGAATCTAGAAAAGACACTCCAATTAATTAAACAAATATTCAATTTCTCAAAATTGCATTTTCAATACTAAAAATTATTTTTAAATTTATCAATACATGAATATTTTTAACAATATACATACACACACATCTTTGAAAGAAAATGGGAGCCAAAAAAAATTGAGACGCCAAGAAATTACTTTAGTGGTCTTATGGTCGAGAGACAAATCAGAATAACAAACAAATTTCATTTATTTATTTAGAATATATAGGGGAAATGTGACTTCTTTTCTTGGTTATATTATATAACTGAATTATTAAATGTTTAACTATGCTTGCTTATTTTGTTTTGGTTATAGAAAATATTTGACCAAGTTTTATGGGGAATTTGTTTATGTGATAAAGAGTCTCCTCCTCCTAAAAGGAGACAAATCACATAAAGTTTATGTAAACAAGAAATCATATAGTTCATGCTTAGTTAGGAATTGAATTTTATGAATTCGAATTAATTAATACTAAATTTATAACTCACTTTAGTTATGACGTTATAATTAAAATAATTTATGAACCATTGGTATATGAAACTAAAAGGGGTGACAATGCAATTTATTCTGAATATTGGATCAAAAGTAAGCAAATAACATAAACATCAAAGAAAATTAAATGGATCCACGTGATGTAATATATCCAAAAATATATATTTTTTTCGTCTCGTTTTATGTAATAATATTAAAAATTTAACATAATATCAAATAGAATGAGATTTTGGCTTTTTTGCAATTTAAATATTTATATCAAATTTTAATAAATTTATATAGTAATAAAGTGATCGAATTAATTGAACATATAATCATTATATCCCTTCATAACCCCCACTTTATAT